AGGGCAACAGAAAGTCAAAATGATAGTGAACTGTCATCTCACACCAGGGAGAACAGTCTGTCCAAAAGCCTGGAAATGACAGAGGTGGAGGGATATGGAGAGAGAGAAACATTCATTCACTGTGGGTGGGAATGCCCAGTGCTCATCAGGCTTTATGGGGAACAGTAAGAAAAATTCTCGAAAGATTAAAAATAGAATGACCAAGTGATCTAGCAATTTCACTTCTAGGCATCTAGCTCCCAAACACAAAATTATCATTTCAAAAGAATACACACACATGAGCACATGCACGCACACACACACACACACACACACACACACACCTATTCTATTTCAAAAGAATATATATATATATATATATATATATATATATACCTATATTCTTTCACAACAGCCAAGATCAGGTAACAACCCAAGTGGCCGACAAGAGCTCCATGGATGAAGAAGTAGTGTTCCCCACACACAGTGGAAATACTGCCAGCCATGAGAAAAGTCAAAACCTTGTGTTTTTTTTTTGTTTCATTGTTTGTGTGTGCACGTTTATTCTTCTTTTTTTTTAAATTTTTATTAGTGAGACACCATGAGGTGCAGTTGTAGACTTACAAATTTTGTGCTTGGGTTTCAATTATACAATAATCAAATACCCATCCCTCCACTAGTGCCCACTTCCCACCACCACGGATCCCAGTATCCCTCCCACCCCGCCATCCCCCCCATCCCACCCTGCCTCTGTGACAGGGCATTCCCCTCTGTTCTCTCTCTCTTTTGGGCTGCAAACCACAAAGCCTTGTTTTTTGCTACACACATGGAACTGGACACTGTGAAGTCAAAGGAGAAAGACAAAATAGTGAATGATCTCACATGTGTATAATAGATAAAAAGAAACCAAGGGGGGAAAAAAACAGTATTCAGTGAAAATCCTTACCCTCTCGCCATAGGGCAGAGAACAGCAGAATACGAGGGAATAACAGCATCAATGAGGTGAGGGGATATTGGCATTTAGTGATGGGTGTCTGGAGGGTACCACGGTACCCTTAACACATATAAACATTCACATTCCTCCAAATTAATGTTCCCTCAATTTTGGAAGTTAAAGAGAGTTTGAATCTTGAAGCATCCATCTTATTTTCCTCCTTACGTTGGCTGCCAGGAAGCTCTGCACTAACTCCAGCTCCCTGTCTATCCGGCGGTGCCAGCCTGCAGGAGCTCCCTGCCCATATGCAGAATGCAGCTCACTCTTGACTTTCTTTTCTTTCCCTTCTCACGTTCCTCTTCACCTGCTACTCCTGGGTGACCATTTTTATTCTCCTGCCACTAGACTGATTTTTTGCTTTGTTTGGACGCTGCCACAAATCCTCTGTAGAAAGAGTTAAATGGATGGTTTCTTTTTTTTCAATGCGATGCTTTTCTTAGAGATCTTCATGGATGGGAAAGGAACCTGCCAGGCACTATTTAACGTGGAGGATACATACATCTGTTAGTTGGATACATTGTAAAGTTCATAATTTTCCAAGCTAAGGGGATCTGGGGTTTCTTCTTCAGTGGATATTTACTTAAAAGACCCTGGGAGTAAAAAGGTGTCTTTTGGGGGAGAGAGGGGTAGGGACATGCATCCAGAGATGCTCAGGGTTGACTCCTGCCTCTGCACTAAGGAATCATTCCTGGTGGGTTGGAGGGACATATGGGATGCTGGGATTGAACCTGGGTAGCTACTCAGCCGCATACAAGGCAAATGCTCTACCTGCTGTATCATCCCTTCAGCCCCTTCAAAAAGTATCTTATGGGGCTGGTGAGATGGTACAGCAGGTATGGCTCTTGCCTTGCACACAGCCAGCCCAGGTTCAGTACCCGTCACCCTATATAGTTCCCTGAGCAGTCCCAACAGTGATTCCTGATTCAGAGCCAGGAGGAACCCCTGAGCATTCCCCAGTGACTCCCTCCCTGCCCCCGCACCCCCCCCCCCCAAATAACTAAAAGTATAAGTGTTTTAGGCCAGGGAAGGCATGATGCCAGCATCTCCTTTACAGCTTAGCAATTCCAGATTTTGTCCATGGTGAGCTTGCAGATTCTAAAATGAGGATAAAGGGGCCAGAGCGATAGTACAGCAGGGAAGGCGTTTGCCTTGCACGCGGCCAACCCAGGTTGGATCCCCGGCATCCCATACGGTCCCCCAAGCACCGCCAGGAGTAACGCCTGAGAGCAGAGCCAGGAGTAACCCCTGAGCATCACTGGGTGTGACCCACAAAGAAAAAAAAGAAGAGGCTAAATATTTGAGCAAAAAGTAAACATACAAACAAAAACACCAGGGGATAGAAAGGGTCAGAAACACAGTATCCTTCACTGGGAAGGTGGCTAAGTTAGCTTATCCTGTGGATCTGTGGTCTTTCCGGAGACTCAAGGACAGAGCGCACACACACACAGACAAACACACACACACACACACACACACACACACACACACTCCCTCTGCAGCACAATGGAACCCCCACCGGGAATTTATAAAAAAAATAAATAAATAAGGGTGTCCCCTAACTCAGTGCCTCCCAGAGAGAGAGCCTGATTTAATTGGCCTGGGGTGGGGTGGTGGCCTGGGGAGTTTTTAAAAGCTCCCCTGGAGGTCCTAATGTGTGACTGCCAGGCTAAGGACCACTGCCCTCAGAAGGAAAAAATAAAATTAATAAGCACCTGTCGCCTCTTTATCTCTCAGGGGAGCATGGGGTGTGGCTGTGATTTATGAGATAATGGGTCAAGTCCTGGTGAAGAGGTGAAGTGGGTTTGAGAAAGAAACAGATTAACGCTTTGTATTCCATAAGTAATAATCTGGTTCTTCTGTGTTCTTGCCTGTGATCTGCACAAAAATAAACATATTTCTCATCCTGACCCAGTACACACACACACACCACACACACACACACACTGCATGCAATTCACTTCAAGCTTTCTCTTTCAATCTATTCCATTCTATTCCTTTAGAAAAAAATTTTTTTTTCTGTTTACCACCACTGGCTTAAACATTATATTACAGCGCCCGAGCCAAGATAAATTAAACGCCTCTGGAGAGCATTAAGACGCTCAATTTATAATGACTTGGAGCTTTTTGCATAGATGCTATGGGAAGGAGTTGTGTGTACAATAATAATATTTGCTAAGTAATTGCAAGTGCCAGCTACAAACAGAGCAAAAGTGTTTTTACAAGTGCGCTCTTAGTGAATTGTTCTCACAGCACAAGGTGGGTACTGTTATGGTCATTTTAGAGATGGGAACACCGAGGCCAACTGCTCCTAGAAGGCAAGGGAGCCTCGTTCCCCCAGGAACACCAGAGTCTGCTCAGCCGATGCCGGGGAGAACAGCGTTTCACAATACGGTTGCTTCAGTCCGGATTTTGAGGATGAGAAGGCAGATGAATTAAGCCCTGAAACACCCGAGGTGATGCAGGGCTAATGAGGCTGGCTACAGCTGCAATTTGGGGTCCCTGTTTCAGTAAAAGAATGCAAAACAATGAGTCCCAAATCAGGAACAAAAGCATTTCTTTGAGTTAGGAAACCACAGTAAATTCAGATTTTTAAGAGGGGGGGGGGGGGAACATAGCACAAACATTACCAAATTCCCAAGTCAACTTTCCTCAGCTGGATCCCAGGAAGCCAGTAACCACTCCCTCCTGACCCTACCCAAGGTCAAGTGGTCTTGACTAATTGCAGCCTGAGCATCTTCCATGAGCAAGAGACCAGTGGGGCTGTCAAGCAGCTGGGAAGTCAGGGGCCAAGGAATGGAACCTTCTGCAGCGGCCCAAGGACAAAAGCAGATTTGCAGACTGGAGATTCAGTCTGGAGAGCCAGTTGGAGCCAGTCGAGGGAACCTGAATTTCAGTGCTGTTTTGGTCTTCTTTCAGTTTCAATCAACATGGTCATTTGTCCAATAAGCACCTGCCTCTGGGTCTGTGTGAAATTAAAGGCGATAAGGAGAGCTGAGGGGGGCGTGGATGAGTTTAGGGTAGCTGGATTTAGCAAAAAAAAGTGTAAGACGTCCAATCAGACTAGGATTTCAGAGGCCCCGTGCCTGGCTTTTGACTTTTGGGGTAAGCACTGTGCTTCCTAGGGTACAGGGCACAGTAATACAAAGCATCTCCGGGTCTGGGAAGGTTGAACTTGTCTAGGTGCCCTGCATTTCATTGAGCTTAACGGATAGAATGTGTGGCGGGCATTCACTGAAAAAAAAAATACATAAGTATCGGAAAGGAGGTGAGAAGATGTTGTGATGATTGTTCACTGGAGGACGAAGTCAATGGGGTGCCTTAACCTGGAGGGTGTTAAGCGGAGAAGACTTTGGATCAGCCAGTTACGTTCTTACACAGGGGCCTCAGTTTCTCTGCCTGTGCAATGGGCTCGTGGAGATCCCTGAGCTCTCCTCCCCCAGGTGTCGCCAGCAGCGCCCCTTCTCCTAGGAGGGGGGGTCTTCTCTCCCTCCCCAGCTAAAACCAACCGCCGCGCCCCAGCGCCTAATCCCGCACCCCCACCCCCAGGAATTCTAAACTTTCTAGAATTGTCTTGATCTTTGATTGTTTGTTTACGGGTCCGGCCTTGGGGGCTCCCGAGTGAATGCCGGCGGTTCCGGGAGGGCAGAAAACTCGTCTGTCTTGTTCCCGTTGAATTTCCCAGGAGCGGGAGATGCTCAGGACGCGGAGCATGGGTGAGTGAGTGAGGAATGAATGAATGGATGGATGAATGAATGAGTGAGTGAGTGAGTGAGTGAGTGGCGCGGAGGGGTGGACGTGCCTTCCCGGCAGCCCCGCGGGCCCCGGTGGCAGGGGGGAGGCGGTGCGGGCTGTCTGAGCCGGGTGGGAGGAGGCCGGCACCGGCCAGAGCGAGCGCGCTGCGAGCGGCCGCGGCGCAGAGAGCAGCGCGCCCCGCGCCCCGCGCCCCGCGCCCCGCGCCCCGCGCCCCGCAGCGCCGCGCCTCGGCGCCCCCACGCGCCCACGCAGCGGCGCGGGGACCGGGCGGGGGCAGAGGGAGGGCCGGGCCGAGGGAGGGGAAGGGGCCGGTCCTGCCCGCGCAGGCGGCGCGGCGGCGGCAGCAGCGTCGGATCCGCGCCCGGCCGCCCCGGGGCCGCCGTCTCCACCGCGCGCGGTGAGTACCGTCGGCCGGGGGTCGTCGCTGGGGGTGGGCGCGCGGGGGCTGCCAGGGCGGCGGGAAAACGAACCGCCGTCCCATTCTAGCTCGGGAAAGTTCCGCTCCCGGCTCCGGGCCTCAGTTTCCCCACTCCCCCACCCCCGCACCCCGTGAGCCGCCTGGCCCCGCGCTCGACTTGGGCAGCCCGGCGCGCGGGACAAGTGCACGGAGCGCGGGCGGTGTAGACACGGCTGGGGGTGGGCTCCGTATTCGCTTCGTTCGATGGCCCGGGTGGTTCGCGCCGACGGGAGCGCCCCTGTCCGGAGACAGACGCACGCCCTCGGCGCTGTTGATGGGGTGACCGAGGGTCCATGACGCTCGGGGGTCCCGGCACGGGTCCCGCCGAGCCCCCCACCCCCCTGCCCGGTGCTGGCCACATTTCCTTGATGAAGTCCGTCTGCGCTCGGCCGGCCAGCTCGGTCCGGGCCCCGGGACTTTGCGCCCGCGCGGGCGCCCCAGGACGCGCGTAACTGAAGTTGGGAGTCGAGAAGTTGCAAAACTTTACATCAGAGGGGTGTTTGGTTTTGTTGTCACGGGACAACGTGGAGAATGGAATTGTTTGGGTGGTTGTTGTTGTTATTGTTATTATTATTATTATTGCTCAGCGATCTGGAAACCAACCGGTACTGGCTTCTTGCATTTATTTCCTGCCCCCCATCTCCCGAATAAGTCGAATAAGTCTTTTACAAGGGATACAAGACAAACTTGAGTGGAAAGCGAGACCGCGCGCACCCCCAAACGCTCAATGCGCATTTCTCAGCTGTTGGAAGGGTAGCGCTTTGGCCCTGACAGGGCTCCTGCTTGGGAGAGAGGAGCCAGCGAACCTGGCCGGGGGCAGCCGCCACCTTCGGCGTTCACAGCCCCCTTTTTAGGAAATCAGACGGAGGCTGCGTTTTTATGGAGACCGTTTTCTTTTCTGCCCCCTTCCCCCGAAATGCACCACAATCTTTAATTCCCTTTCTTTTTTTCCCCTCCTGTAGCGGTGGGGTATAAAATCACTCCCGGTAGAAAGCGCCGGTTCAATCCGAGATACTGGGACTGGGACGTAACAGAGGAGAGCCAGCGGGTTGTTTGCAAGAGCGGGTGGAGGCAGGGGGCTTTGCAAACATCAGGTAAGAATTTGAGGGCTGAATTCTGTTTGAGATAGGGAGAGCAAAGGAAATCACAAACAGTCAACACGGCATTTCAAATCAAATCTGTTCGTTCCAGGAGCTCTTGTTTGCTTGAGTGCATTCTCTCCCGGCAGCCTCTATACTGATCTAACAGTAGCTGCAGTGACTTGTCCTCCAGCCCATTTGAAGAGAGAACAAGAAAGAGAAAAAGCGACACACACACACACACACACACACACACACACACACACACAGAGGGAGAGAGAGAGAGAGAGAGAGAGAGAGAGAGAGAGAGAGAGAGAGAGAGAGAGATCTTAAGAGCAAAAAGCAGAACAAACTGAGAAAGATAAATCCGGGAAAGCCTTACCCAAGACATTTTCCTTTCTTTTTCCTCTCTAGTACCTGAAGCACCTTAAGACTGTACTTCCCCTCATATTCTCAGAGTAGGAATAGTTCGTCAATCATTTCTATAACAGATAAATGACGACTTGAATCTTGCTTTTGACTAAGCATAAAATCGTGGTTTCTATCCCCAAACTCCTGCCCTTTGGAGGAAACTCAAAATTTTTCTATTTTTGACCGGTGCGGCTCGATCGGGAAGGGCCTGAACTTTTTAAAAAGCAATTTCTAGGTCCCACACATCGATAGTGGTTACTTCCTTTTCATAACTTTAGCTTCATCATGTTCTTGACTATTTTATCTTAAAGGATTTGACATTTTCCCTTCGGCTGGAAACCGTTCGCCTCATGGAGTGGCTCCGTCTGTCTCTCTAAATGCATCTATCTTCCTGAATATTAAATAACTCAAGGAAATACAATTTTAAAAAAAAGTGTGACCCCATACTTTGGGATTTAAAAGAAATGATAAAAGATATCCAGATGTTTTCACTGGTTAGATTTTAGAATCTTTTGATTTTTAATGCCTTTTGTGGTGGTATTAAATACTTCATAAAGAGATAGGATTTGTTGTCTTGTTATAGGATTACCGTTTGGCAAAAAAACGCCCAAGACATGCTGTCTCCAATACGTGGCGTTACTTCTGCTTTAAATTGCCTCGAAGAGATTGCAAACCGTGTCCCAGACGGATAAATTGATAAAATGCTCGCTGTGGGAAGAGAATGTAGGGGTCTCCGTGCACAGACTCGCCAGGCGATGAAGTCCATTTTGAATTAGTTTGCTGAGAGCAGAGCAAGCCAGCCCCGGGTGCTTTGTGACAGAGGATAGAAGCCCAGAAAAGGCCATTTGGAGGCATGTTGGGTTCTCCTATGACACAACACCTCCTTGCCTGCAAGGGGGGGAAAATATTGTTTCTTTGCTTTTTTTTCGGCGAACTTTTCCAACGATAATTTGTATGGAGCGAAAGAGACCAAATCACTTGCCCCCAGTGTGGAGGAGGAAGGGACCGTCCCCTTTCTTCCACCAGCTGTTTGGAGGTGCCCTCAGCTGGAATGCCCAGTTTGAAACTAATTAGGCCAGCCATAAACTCCTCGTATAATAAAAATTGCAGGCCTGGTGGTGCCTAAGTGGGGTTCCCAGCCGCTCCCGACAGATAGCCCTCCGGCTGGAGGGAGAAACGGACGGGAATGTGGAGATCTTGTTTATGCGTTTGCCGGCCCGGAGTACCCCAAAAGGCATAGCACGTTCTCGTCTCTCAGGGCTGTGAGCTGGGAGTTGCAGTGGTTGTTCTCGCTGGGCACAGAGCCTAACTGAGGAGATGGTTGGGCGAGAAAGAAAAGCTTCTTGAGAAGGAGAGAGGGGTGGTCCCCGGGCCGAGGGGTGCAGTGTTTGAGCATGAGGGTGGGCGTGGGGGGCGGGATGAGGGGGCCGGAGAAGGCGTCCTCTCACCTGGCTGTTTCTCAGCTGGACTCACCCGACATTCTTGGTTCTCCGGCCTGACAGGAATTCCTTGGGGATCAGGAATTGCTCAACTCAGTGGTTGTTGTTGTTTGTTGTTGTTTTCCCAGAAGGGGGGATTTGTCTACCTGTGGGTCCGCCTTACTGGCTGGGTGTGTGGCGCCGAAGCGCTGGTTCCTCCCTTAACCCCAGAGGCGAAACTCCGACTGTGGCCTGCCTGGGTTTTGAGGGGGCAGAGGAAGGATTCTGCTTGGGAAAGGAGCTGCTGTGCACCCCCCCTCCCCCCCCCCGAAGGAAGCTCTGTGGAGAACTACGCCCAGAGTTGAGAAAATCCAGCCTGTTGACAGCAAACACCAAACACTCCCATAATGCTTTGTTCGCTGGCCCTTCCCTGTGCCCCCTCCCAGTTCCCAGTCTCCCAACAGCTTTCTGAAAGGCCCACCTTCCCCTTCACACACACACACACACACACACACACAAATACATATACATACACACACATACATACACACATACGCACACACCCCACCCAGTTGGTGGCATTTCAAACAGTCCCAAACACACACACACACACACACACACACACACACACATACACACCGTCCTGTTGGTAGCATTTCAAGCAGTCCCAAACACACAAACACACACAGACACACACATACATATACATACACATACACACATACACACACATACATACACACACACACCACCCAGTTGGTAGCATTTCAAACAGTCCCAAACACACACACACACACACACACACACACACCCTGTCCTGTTGGTAGCATTTCAAGCAGTCCCAAACACACAAACACACACAGACACACACATACATATACATACACATACACACATACACACACACATACATACACACACACCACCCAGTTGGTGGCATTTCAGACAGTCCCAAACACACACACACATACACACACATACAACGTCCTGTTGCTGGCGTTTCAAGCAGTCCCAAACACACACAGACACACACACATACACACAGACACACAGACACACACATATACACACCCATGCACACATACACATACACACATGCATACACACATACACACAGACACACACATGAGCGCACACATCCACGCCCAGTTGGTGGCATTTCAGACAGTCCCAAACACACCAAAGGAGGGTTCTGGTGGCAGGACGGGCCCACGGGTGTCTGACTAGTCCCTCTCATCCCAGGAGAAACACCGTCTCAGGCCAGCGGCGCCAGGCCCTGGAAGTGACGGGTTGAGATCTCCTAGTCTGGAAGGGAACCGGCGGGCGACGAGCGAGGGGGCTTCCTGTGGATTTCAAGCCGGGGAGTCTTTGGGGGAAAGAGGACCAAGGAAGGAGCCTCGGGCAGTGACATTGACTTGTGCTACTTTCCCTTTTCTTTCTGCTTCACTCTCATCCTATCGGCCCATCCCATTTCTCTCCCGCACACACTCTCTCCTAACAGCAACGTGATGAAAAGAGCTGCCATCAGGGGCTGGAGCCAGAGTAGAGCGGGAAGGACGCTTGCTTTGCACACAGCCAACCTGGGTTCAATCCCCGGTACCCCATACGGTCTCCTGAGTCAGGAGCGACCCCTGAGCACTGCTGGGTGTGATCCAAAAACAAAAAAGGGAAAGAAAAGCGCTCCCGTTCTCTGAGCGCCTGTCTGCCAGGCGTGCAGCGGGGTCTTGCAGGCCGGCTGAAGTTTGCTTTTGTGTTTCTTGGTTTCCAGCGTCAGGGCTCACACGCCCTGGGTCTCTGTTCTGGCGCACCGGGTCGAGGCAGGCTCAGCGAGGATCGCTCTCTTTGTTGTGGCACTGGAGCACCCCAGTTTCGCTGCTGACAGGATCTCTTTTGGTTTGTGATTTGCAACCTCGTAGCTGCAACGCCTTGAGTGATTGCCCTGAACCATCCCTGGGCACTTGAATGTCGATTTTAGGCGGGAGTTCTCACTGAGGTAGGGCTAATTGGGTTCCGGGTTATGACCCTCCTCCTC